TTGTCTCGTTCTATATTTACGAAAAAAATTGTTTCGAGAGAAACCGCATCGTCTACAATATTCTGCAAAAACTACAGAGGAAATCCTTTTTTCCCCGGAACAATCAAGAGAGCCTTAATGCCAATGATCCTCGAATGTCACGCAACTTTCCATACATACATACGTACGTATGTGTGCGTCTTATTAAGTCGTTATAGCAGCGCGCCGAGCGTCGGTTTTTATTTGCGGTAAACCGAGGCCGGGGACAACGATAAAACCTGGTCTCCGGTTTTATTCCGAGGAACAATGGTGTAAACAATGTTGAGAGCCCGGCGCGCGTTTCCATTGGGATGATCCTCATTGTTGTCGACTTCGGAAGGTATCATTGAACGACGACGACGGGGACTACCGTCGCGCCGTGGAAGAAGAGAAGTTACTTGCGCATAGCCGAGGAGGTAACGCGTCACCAGTGCCTTATTACTCAAGTGCATACGATACGGGGACAGAATACATAGCTTTCGACATCGCTGATTGTTCTCTTGCGCGGACGTTGTTTGTAACAGGCTGCAACCCATCTTTCGAAAGCGAAGGAGAATATCGACGCGTTCGAATCGCCGATACACATACCGTAGAAAAGCCTTGAAACGCCATCCGTCACGGTATTTTCTGAAGGCACATTTATTTCTTTCCCTTTATTTTAAAGAACGATTTTAACACTTCCACGACCGCGCTAGAAACCTCAAAAATTTGCATAAAATTAAAATATTTCATTTGATTAAACAAAAATTATGAAGCAAACTTATATGGCATCAACTACTTCTTCAGCATTGGTACCTCTTGCAAATCTTAATAGAATTAAGCAATCATTTTTAATTTTTCATTAATTATCAATTCGGTCGTCAATCGACGGAATTTAAATCGGGGAGATCTCCCCGTTCGGTTGGCTAAGTGTTAAAACAGTCGACGTTTCGAGCGATTCCTGTAAATAAATTATTTACATCCAAATGTATTTATAAGCATAGTAAATTCTCCCTAATTGACGATCAGCTTGTACAATCGTTCTTGTAGTTACCGATTGTCATAAATTGCTATATTGATTGCTATAAAAATCTTCCCAAAAAAAGCTTTTCCTAAATTGTCCATTTTGTGTTGTCCGTCACGATATTTTCTGAAGGCACATTTAATTCTTTCCCTTTATTTCAACCTTTTGCACTCGAAGCAATTTTAACTGTAAATATAAAATCATGTGTATAATTTATAGTATTTTTATTTTATACGACAAAATGCATTCTATGCATATGAAATCGACTCTTGGGACTCGCACAGCAGTTACACTCTTGATAATTTTTTAGATTCGAACTTTGTTGATATAAAATTTATCTTAGAAACAAGATACAACAAATTTTAGTGGTGCCTTTGAGTCACCACTCGAGTACAAAGGGTTTAAGATAGTGTCTATCATCCTAGAGTTGAATAATAAATTCGAACGGCGAACGCTTGCATGATGCGTTCCTTTCTAAACGCGTTTTTTCGCAGCTTCCAATGCCAAAAGAAGGATAACACTGGAAAAATCATAGTCGTCGTAGCGTGACGATGAGACCGAACAAGAAATCCTTCTTGTCACGGATTCAGGTATTTATATATTCCGGCATCACGTGAAAGCTTTAACTACCGTAATTTCTCCCGGAAATATCAAATTTCGAGTTGCTGTGAATTTCCATGTGTTAGTCTCACGCTTATGAGATTTATTGCTACGTCGATGATAAGGTTCGATGGAAGATGACACAAAATGGTCTGTTTCGCGAATGAATGGTGATATGGCCTCCGAATTGCTTTCGAATCGTGTCATGAGGCCTCCGAATTGTCTTCGAATTGCTTTCAAATTGCTTTCAAATTGCTTCCAAATCGTGTCATGTGGTCTCCGAATTGCCTTCGAATAGTGGCATGTGGCCTCCGAATTGCCTTCGAATCGTGTCACGTGGCCTACGAATTGCCTTCGAATCGTCTCACGTGGCCTCCGAATTACCTTCGAATCGTGTCAGGTGGCCTCTGAATTGCCTTCGAATCGCCGATTGCTCCGAATTTCTATAAAAACGAGTCGCGAGGCTCGAAGAATCGCGTCTTAGTATTCTCAGATCTGCCGGTTTCGATTCCAAGCTCCGAACATCTCTGGGAGAAATGATTAAATTGTAATTAGATCGGCTCGTGAAGCGAAAATAATTTGCCTTGAATTTCGAAGCTCGCGAACTCTCTCTCTCTCTCTCTCGCTCTCTCGTTCTCTCTCGCTCTCTCGCTCTCTCTCGCTTCCTCTCGGCCTCTCTCTCGCGCGCGCTCTCTCTCGCTTCTTTTCGGTCTCTCTCTCTCTCCCACTCTCTCCCACTCTCCCGCGCTCTCTCGCGCTCTCTTTCGCTCTCCCGCTATCTCGCTCTCTCGCGCTCTCTCTCTCTCGCTTCCTTTCGGTCTCTCCCTCTCTCTCTCTCTCTCTTCCGCTTCCTTTCGGTCTCTCTCGCTCTCTCGCTCTCTCGTTCTCTCTCTCTCTTTCTCTCTCTCTGTAAAAAGGCGGCGAATCGCGAGGAGAAAATGCGAGAGGCGAATTCGAAATAGTCTCGACCGTGTACGTATGCGCCTTGTCTCGGAAACTGTACTTGACAGCGGTACCAAGGGAACGACCGCACGACCGCTTTTAACTTTGAGACACGTTCTTCAAAGATCCACGTTGATGTCGCCGCCTAAACGTTTGCGGCCTGTCATCGCGGTAATTGACTTTCTCCTCCGACAGCTCCAATAGGGAACCGCCGCTGTCTTTCTAGTCTGATAGATTACGTTAATTAATTCACGCCCGTTCCGAGCGGCTCGATGCAGCTGGAATAAGAAAAAAAAAGAAAAGAAAAAAGAAGGAACATTGAATTTTTTTCAACGACGTTTTAATCCGATATTATCACCTTTAAACGCCTGCCTTTTCTTTATCGTAATAAACGCCGGCGATAGTTTCGAACGCACGGCGTTTCGTAATTAGCGGACGGGTCTAATCCCACCGAGTCCTTGCGATTCTAATTAAAATATTTTTACCTATAAAATAACTCGAATCGAACGTTATCCTGGAAATGTCCGAGCTCCGTTCTTGCTCAATAAACCACGATCGTTTCGAGCGTTTGACGTTTATACAGACATTAAGACACTATTACACGTGAATTACCGTTTGTCTCTTGCTCAATAAACAACGGATCATTAGAATATACGATGCGTATTACGAACATCATAAATTTCTTAATTAACAGATACTTCAATCCCTCGAATTCCTCCGAGAATCATGCGACTCGGGTTTAACGGTTTTATCTCTTCCCACGCTTATCTTTTTTCTTCTGTTTCCTTCTTTTCTTTCGGTTATTTTTATTTTATTTCCTTTTTTATTCGCGAAGCATGGTCTCGCGTCGCGTCGGACGAACGATGAGGTAATATGCGAGCAATTTATAGTATTGCGTAGAATAATAAAGCGCGGTGCAATTGCGCCGATGGCAGGCATAATCGCGGCTGGTTATCTGGATTGCGGTTCGCGACGTGCACAGTTGTTGGAAAATTACACGCACGTGCAAGAAATTATTGTAAATTCGTTTAATAGATACTTGCATTATTCGAACGGCGAATAATGTTGTAGTTAGGCTGGCGATGCTTGCCAGTTGCGATTTTCATAACCGTTTGATGAAGAATAAAATCAGAGGAAATATCTGCTCGATTGACTAACAGTGTCCTTGCGGTAAGAATAAAATAACTGGATCGCGGATCTTTAGACTCGTTTCGATTTAACCGTGGACTGTTTTATGAACAGCTGGACGACGAACAAAGTCGATTTACCAAGTGGAACATTCTTTGTGCGAAAGAGACGGAGAAAAGTGTAAACAAAAAATTAATAGAAAAGTAGAATGAATTTAGAAGATGTTCGAGTACTATAAATGTATAAAAAACCGCAGTCTAAAAACCAAGAACAGTATTCATTTTTACAATATTTCGAATCAGTTCTGTACGAAATTTAAGCTAATCAAAAATTGCGTTAAAATCGATGTATAATTACTCACAAAATTGAGAGTACACCAAATATTATAAATGTATAAAAAACCGCGGTCTAAAAATCAAGAACAGTAATTAGTTTTATAATATTTCGAATCAGTTAGGTACGAAATTTAAGCTAATAAAAAATTGCATTAAAATCGATGTATAATTACTCACAAAATTGAGAGTACAACAAATATTATAAATGTATAAAAAACCGCGGTCTAAAAATCAAGAACAGTAATTAGTTTTATAATATTTCGAATCAATTCGGTACGAAATTTAAGCTAATAAAAAATTGCGTTAAAATCGATGTATAATTACTCACAAAATTGGAAGTACACCAAGTACAATAAATGTATAAAAAACCGCAGTCTAAAAATCAAGAACAGTATTCATTTTTACAATATTTCGAATCAGTTCTATACAAAATTTAAGCTAATCAAAAATTGCGTTAAAACCGATGTTTTAACGCAATTGAAACACAAAATTGAAAGTACACCTTTTTAAACGTAAAAACTTTTTAAAAACTGGACTGAATGATTTGAATTGTTTTTTTAGGTGATAAAGGGATTAGTCTGCTAGACGATGATTAAAATTCCCTTTTCTTAATTTTGCTATTACTCGGGATGACAAGTTAAAAAAGTTAAAAAGACGAGAGTTTTTTCTTTTTTCTTTTTTGTTATTCCAAGTAATAGCAAAATTTTAACAAAGCATTTAAGTTATGTGTATAGGTACTTATTTATTGTATTTGTTATGAATACAAGCATTTATTTATTGTGTATAAGCATTTTGGTTCACGTTCCGCTATCATCTAAAACAAATTCAAGTCACTCAGTCCAGTTTTAAAAAAGTTATTGCGTTTTAAAAGCAGTGCCTGGTATTTTAAGTATAAATATTTTGAGTTATTGCGTCTTGCAAAAAATCGATGACGTCGATTCTCCGACTAAAGAGATCTGTGTTCGTTGTTTCAGATGGTGCACCGGTGCCGGCGGATGCTGTTCAACACGAGGTAAGCAGGACAAAATGAATAAAACCGAATGAACGATGGCGTGCCGATCTTAAATGTCTATCCTTGCAACGAGAATGTCCAGTACGTGATTTATACCGAAAGGAACAGGGAACTGTATTATTATTTTCAGTGGGCTAAATTGTAAAATGTGTTTACATTCTCCGCGGGTACTAAACCGGTGAGAGGAATTGTTGCGTGCACTGTTATTGTTCTTATTATTATTGTACGGACATATCGTAGGAAAACAGTTTATTACCCAGCGATCGTAAAAGTAATTTTTGCCTGGCGCAGATATTGTCGGGAGCTATTTATCTCTAACGATGCAGTTAATATCTTGCTTTCAATTTTTTTTTAATCAGCTCTCCAACAGCGATAGAAATTATATTCGTAGCAAATAAAGCAAGAAATTGTATCGGGCGACATAACCTCGCCGATTTCCTTATTATTCTAATGGAACTGTGGATTCCACGAATTCATGTCAATTTATTTAAATATAATAATATATTTAATTATATATACTATAATATATTTATATTATATATTATTAGCGAGAGAGACATAACCACGCCGATTTCCTTATTATTCTGATCGTACTGTGGATTCTATGAATCCATGTCAATTTATTTAAATATAATAATATATTTAATTATATACACTATAATATATTTATATTATATATTATTAGTGACATAACCTCGCCGATTTCCTTATTATTCTAATGGAATTGTGGATTCTACGACACCATGTAAATTTATTTAAATATAATAATATATTTAATTATATATACTATAATATATTTATATTATATATATACTATAATATATTTATATTATATATTATTAGCGAGAGAGACATAACCACGCCGATTTCCTTATTATTCTGATCGTACTGTGGATTCTATGAATCCATGTCAATTTATTTAAATATAATAATATATTTAATTATATACACTATAATATATTTATATTATATATTATTAGTGACATAACCTCGCCGATTTCCTTATTATTCTAATGGAACTGTGGATTCTACGACTCCATGTCAATTTATTTAAATATAATAAAATATTTAATTATATACACTATAATATATTTATATTATATATTATTAGTGACATAACCTCGCCGATTTCCTTATTATTCTAATGGAACTGTGGATTCTACGACTCCATGTCAATTTATTTAAATATAATAACATATTTAATTATATACACTATAATATATTTATATTATATAACATTATAATAATATATTAATTGAAATTATATATTTAATATTTTAATATAAATAAAAATAACGCGATTAAAAGTTACTTTAACCGATGACAAATTATGCAGAATGATTTCACGCAATATTTAAAACAAGATTCGTATCGTTTCGGAAAGTCATAAGTTAAAAGACATGGATTTTTATTCATTTAAGGCTATTTTAAGATTCTCAGAATTATGGCAGATCGTCGAAAGAATTTTATTCGCTCTCGTGCATCGTATCGATAAATCGCATTGTCTCCGGTTTTACGATCCCTAGCCCTAACAATCGCATTTTACATAAAAATCTGCGATCTGGAATTAATATTGCAAGTACACGGTCAGTGTGTACTGAAATGACTATACTTTCTTAGGAACTGTTTCGTGCCTGCGGTGCGACCATATTGTTTATCGTTCCCGTCGCTCGGTGCATCGACCTTTTTCTATCGTCTTATTTAAAGAGACGTTCATTATGAAAGAAGATAATAACGTCTATTAAAAACGAGCTCATTAACTCTTTATGTAACGCACCAGACACGGTTTCGGTTATTCCGGCGTAATGGTTTCCTGTCAAAGTAAAGTAAGAGTAAAGCTGCATCGCGTCTCGCCGTGCTCGGAGAAAAATCGGCATCGAAAGAATCGTTTTCGAAGATGATGAAGTAACGTGCCACGTAATGTTCTAAACCGTCGCGTATGCAATTATCATTAGGCGCGATAGGATCGAAACGTTATTAACGCGTCCGCGCAGAGTTCGAACGCGGTCTCTATTTTTCACGTGGCAAGCTTAAAGAAGCGGCCAATAATACACGGTAGCGTTATAAAGTACCGTTGACCCCGTACACTTTAAAACGTGCACTTTCATTTCTCACGTTAATTCGTCCACTTATCTTGTAATCATAATTTTGCGTATTTAAGACAAGCATTGCGACACGTTCGAAGACGGCCGAGAGATTTCGCACTGTTTAGGAACGAAATTATTTATGATAGAAAGAAAGATTTACGCAATATTGTACCAATTGGTTTCCCGTTTTACCAAAAAAGGAACGAAAATTATTATTTAGGAATGAAATTATTTATAATAGAAAGAAAGATTTACGCGATATTGCACCATTTGGTCTCCCTTTTTACCAAAAAAGGAACGGAAATTATTATCAAAGAACGAAATTATTTATAATAAAAAGAAAAATTTTCACGACACTAACATTTGGTCTCCCGTTTTACCAAAAAAGGAACGAAAATTATTATTTAGGAACGAAATTATTTATAATAAGAAGAAATATTTACACAACATTATCATTTGATCTTCAGTTTTACCAAAAAAGGAACGAAAATTATTATCAAGGAACGAAATTATTTATAATAAGAAGAAATATTTACACAACACTATTATTTGATCTCCTGTTTTACCAAAAAAAGGAACGAAAATTATTATTTAGGAACGAAATTATTTATAATAAGAAGAAATATTTACACAACGCTATCATTTGGTCTCCCGTTACGAGACTAAAGAAGATAAAAAAAAAAGATACATACGTGTTCAGCGTCGAAAAAATTAATTAGCAGTCCATCGTTCAAATTAATTTCGCGTACGCTCAAATTTATTTTCAGAGATTATTATTAGATTATTTTTTAATATATCATCCAATAATCTCTCTCTCTCTCTATTAGAGATATAGAGATTATTAATATTACATAGAGATTATATTAATATATCATCCAATAATCCATCTATTAGCAATATAGAGATGACTAATATTACATTATTATTAAATTATCTCCAATTATTATTCGAGAACAGCGGTAACTGTACATAGCAACTGCTTAAAACCGCGTGCATTGTATAATCGACGTCGCGCCGATCCGATTGTCAGAAGAGACGCGTACATTTTTAGCGGCTCGAAAAATTGATTGGCTGGCTATTAATCATTGTTACGGTACGATGACAGTCTCGATGCGTGTCAGAACTAATGTATTATGGAATAGGCCGATATCCCACGATAATTCGAAGAGTCTTAGTACACTTCGCCCGAGGATTCGCTGGCCACTTTCGCGTCCATCGTTTGTAATAATGCCTCGGCGTTTCGCGAAGCATTATTATTTCGCTCCACGTATATGTCCGCCGTATATCGTCTACCCTACATATCCAGCAGGTCGGTAGACTGATTGTCCTTAATACAGATATAATTTATACGCCGGTAGGGGAGAATAGTGCGCCGCGCGCAGCTAATTGGATTTCCCTGCATACAAATGTTGAGTTAATATAATAATCATCGGCGCGCGCGTTCCACGGCTTGCGCGAGCACGCCGCAAGATTAATTTGCGTTCTGTAATCGCGCGCTAATAACAGCACCTTTTCTTTACTTCTGCGATCTGCCGTTGCTCATGATCCATCTTCTCGTGTCCTGCATCACGCTCCGTCTGGAAAAGATTTGCCGGGAGATTTGTCGTGATTTTGATCTCGTTCGCGAGCGAACAGACCCTTTCACTCGTTACTTCGTTGCCTTTCCACGATGATTAGGCGAATAAACGTCGCGATTAGAAGTAAGGAAACTCCTTTGGGGCATTTTAGAAGCGGGGCCAATTAATTGTGATTTGATAGTGAGTTTTGATCCTGCGTTACGTTCAATTTGTAATAGCCGGGTAAAGGTGTTTAATATGAAAACGATTTCGCTTTAAATATCGTAATGTTCGATTAACCCCTTAACGCACAGTTTTTTTAAGAAAAAACCGGCCAAACAGATCAATTTTTGGTGGAGAATTTTGGTATACTGCGCTTTTGTTCCATGGAAAAAGGCTATATTTCATAAAGGCTTATATATCATGTAAATGATAAATATCAATAAAATGATTTTTTTTCTTTGCTTTCACATTGTTATTTTCGATTCTCGATTATATTCGAGTGTAAAAAATTACAGCAACATAAAATACAACGCAGCTCGAACTATCTCGAGTGTGCACAGTTTGGCCTGTTTAGCGCGCTCGAATTAACTCGAGCGTACAAGTTAATGGGTTAAAGACGTTCTTATTAACAGCGGATGCACGTTTGAAAAGTGAAAGGAAATATTTTTTCTTGCTTTTTTATTCGTACGTTGGGCGTATAAAATTCGTTTCTTCGACACAAATCGATAGCATTCGTGGAAACAATTATACAATTGTATAATTTGTTGTACATTTGTATAATTTGTATAATTTGTATAATTTGTATAATTTGTATAATTTGTATAATAATTGTTTACGTGTAATATAATCGAACTCCAAAAATGTTTCGCCGATTATTTTACAAATGTATTCGACGAATATATCCATTTTTGTCGAACTAAATAACAAATTTAAAATCACAAAAATAAATAATTTAAATTTTCGATCGTTTCGTTAAAGTTTACAGAAAACTGGTGTCTCTAGAAGGCGTGGCTCAAAGAATATCTTGACAAAAGTTGACGAATAAAATTCCAGACGATTTCAAACGTGAAAAAAGAATCATATTTTCGAACTCGGAATCTCGGCGAGCCCGCGATTTATATCATATCCGCGAATTATACAGTGTGTCCTAAAAATGTCTCGCAATCCGGAAATGGCGGGTTCCTCGGATCATTCGAAGCAGCTTCTTCCTTTACAAAAATGTTCTCCGAGGCACCGTTAACGAGTTATCAACGAAAAACAGTGACCAATAAGAATCGAGTACGGCTGACGCGAGGCGGCCCAGCCAACCAGCGCGCAAAGCCCAGTTCCACTCATTGGCTCGGTCGCCACGCGC